CCCCCCCTCCCCCTTATTTTCTCTTTCTTCTTTCTACAATTGTATAATCATTAGGTGGACTTAGTTTTGGTAAATGATTTTCCTATGATAGATCTCCTAAGAATGAAAAAAAAAAAAAGGATCAATAGCAGATTTAATTTTCATCTTTACATATGACATGTACTTGCCCTTGATAATTTAAAGCAAAGTTGCCCACCTAAATGCTGGTGAGAATCTTTCAAATTTGCTAGAATTATTTTAAAATTATTTTTCCATTTTTGTTTTTTTTTAATATTAAATTCTTTTTCCTAAAAAAAAGTCATCAGCAAAATCTTGTATCATTCAAAATCATGTGTGTGTCTGTGTGTGTGCATGCATGTGTGTGTGCCTTTGAAAACAAAGAATAGAGTACTTCTCATAAACTATTATGAGATAAACTTTTTAGCCTCAGACATTTCATCCCTGGTAATAAATTTTTTTCTCATAAATCATATCAATGAATATTTATTCTCTCTCTCTCTCTCTCTCTCAAGTTCATACACAGTCTGAAAATGGAAATGGACAATCAGACCACCACAGTGACTTCCTTTGTCCTTTTGGGATTTTCCTGCAACCTGTCAGTCAACATTGTCCTCTTCTTGGTATTTCTCCTTATATATGCCATAACTTTGATGGGAAATTTGATGATTATGGTGATCACGAGTCATCTTCCAAGTCCCATGTATTTTTTCCTAGCTCATCTGGCTTTCCTTGACTTTTGTTTTTCTTCTGTTACTGTTCCAGAGTTGTTAGTGATTTTCTCTGCGAGCCAGACTATTTCATACTCTGCTTGCTTTAGCCAAATGTTCTTCGTCTTTCTAATGGGGACCACTGAAGGTTACCTCCTTGCAGCAATGGCTTATGACCGATATGCTGCCATTTGCAGGCCCCTCAATTATGTGCAAATTATGAACAAAGCATGTTGTAGGAGGCTGGTGGGTGGTGCATGGGCACTTGGCTTCTTATGTTCCATAATCAACGTATTACCTGTTTTGAGGCTAAGTTTCTGTGGATCAGATATTATCAGGCATTTCAGTTGCGAGTTTCCAACTCTTCTTGCACTTTCCTGCTCAGAAACTTTCCTCAATAAACTGGCATTCTACATGATAGGAAGTGCCTTTGTAGGTAGTTCATTAATTGTTATTCTATTTTCCTACATCCACATCATCTCAACTATCCTGAAGTTGAACTCCACAGAAGCAAAGAGAAAAACTTTCTCTACCTGTAGTGCTCACCTTATTGTTGTGGTTTTGTATTATGGTACTGGATGTTTTAGGTATATGAGGCCCAGTTCAGCCTCCTCAATTTTTGTGGATGAACTCTTCTCCGTTCAGTATAGCATTTCAACACCCATGCTGAACCCCCTTATTTACAGCCTGAAAAACAGGGAAGTGAAGGAAGCCATCAAAAAGCTAATAGGTTACAAATCCTAGATAGCTAAAATCTAAACTGTTTTGTTGTTAAACACATGGACCAGTCTGTTGTTATTGAGCTGAAAAATAAATGGAGCAAACTTCAAAAATCCTAAAGAAAAGTTTATATTAGCAGCCTTAACAGGGTAAATTTCAACAAGACCTACAGGATGAGGCTTTTTCACAAAGTGGGGATCCATGGGGGGTGAGGGATGACTATACCCTCCCAAAGGTTTTACATTTCATCTGTGTGGTACACCAAGCATTCTGGACTGGGTTAACTATACATGATAGGTCAGTACCTGGAGGAGGTAATGCTAGTGATGAACCTTTTGCTTATGAAAAGCTTATATTAAGGGATGAGTTACTTCCAGCTAAAAAGAGGTGATAAATCATCCCTTGGATAAAGTGGGCCTCTTGTAATATTACTTTGAGACTGTTTAGCTCTCGAGTTTTTTTAAAACAACCTTTTGCAGAATTTTATTATTTTGATCTACCTTTGAGTGTTTCTTAGAATTTCACTCAATTCAACCATTTATTATTTGGTCCAGATGTTATTACCACTTTTAAATACCATAAAGTGGAATAAACAGATTTTGGTGGAATAAAGGGAGACTTCTAAGTCAGTAAACTATCTATATCTATATTGGGGTGCATAACCTACAGTATGACACCATGGCCATATGATTCCTGCAAAAGATTCCGTATAGACCTAATGATCAAAGATAAATTCATTAACAAATGTATCAGCTAACTGAAGGATCTTTTAGGATTTTACGTTTTAGGATTTTCAAATGAATTATGCCTAATCTTAAATATGTAAAGAGGGTAAGCTATAACAAGGATCTAAAAAGAGACAGGTACCATTCAGATCTCATCTGGCTGATATCAATGAAATGTTGAATTATTTCAAATCCTTGTCATATTATTGGATCAATTAAGAGGTTCTAGAAATGATTCTGAATTGCTATTTTAAAAATTTAAATCAGAAAGTTGATTCACTTAAGAAATGTAACCAGCTTATACGTCAACTGAATCTTCATATGCCCCTAGTAAAAATCCTTTCTCAACTCCATCCTTCTAAGTGCACAACCTCCCTCTTCCCAGCCCTCCATACACACATGGCAAAATATTTTAACCACAGTGATTTTAGTGATGTGATTGTGTCATCAGATAGATTCCTGGGCTGCTCAAAAAGTTGTGAAGTAGATTGCAGCTTCCACCCCATCAGGAGTTCCTACATATTTCTTGTAGCTGTAAAGATCAACAGGAACAACAGGAACATTTCTGCATCTATTTTGTGGTTGGAGTTTGAATTGAAATACAACTAAATTATTCTTTCCCTTTTACTGGAAAGATATATTACAGTATCTCAATTCCCCCCCCCCCCCATTCTGGAGCAGGCAGAACTATATTGATTGACTGTATGGTTGAACTAATTTTCAGAAATGCCATATTCAACTGACATATCCACATCTGAAGAAAAATGTAAACTTAGGGATATTTTTGTTGTTTTGTCTGCTCTGCTAATGCATGACTGTTGCACTGTTGCTTGTTCATTTGAATACACACCATTCTTTTTCAGGTGTTTGAATCACTGCAAAAACTAATCACATTGATTCAGAGGCACCAGATTTGAGTCAAGAGTCTGAATTGATTCTTTTCTAATTCAGAAAGCCAGTTTGCTTAGATTCAATCAACATTGTTTATATTGAATATTCATATAACCCAAGTAACAATCCTTTCTCAGCTTCTTTCAGTCTAATTGGTTTCTTTGGATAAACAGACATTTTGTAAAATTATATTAGGTGAGTAGGAGTTCAGTAGTTAAGGTCCTAGATTCGAACAATTATCTTAAAATATTTATTTATTTAATATTTATTTATGATCAATAATCAGCACAGTAGCTACAAGAATAAAACAACATGTAAAAGCAGGCTGAAATACAATTTAACCTGCCAGTTACAATTTACACATATAAGACATAAGCAAAAAAGAGAAAACAAAGCAAAACAAAATAGATAAAATAAAAATATGATTAAGATAACATAATAAAACGACCCTAAACCTAACCCTTTTGTCATCATTCCAAGATTAGGGCACCTTTTTTCAACAATAGCTGTCGATAAGAACTTGGCAACTCTGTTCAAAATAACAGGGTCTGAGAGTAGGAAATAAACCACTTTTCCCTCATTGGACCTAAACAATGGAAATTAAAGTCTACACCCAACAGAACCTCTTAATTGATCCAATTATATGACAAAGGAGCTGATTAAGATAATAATTTCTTCTTAATCCATTTCTAGAGTGCCTGATAAAATGAAAGGATGAAATGATAAATGATGAAATGATAAAATGAGCCTTGTGCTTCCAAGAAAACCAACATAGAAAAGGCTATAAATCTATATATCACTAAAATTCTTATTGTATTTATGTTTATCTGTTTGTACCCTCAAGTTAGCCCAAACAGTGATTATACCAAAACAATTTTTGAATCAAGGTACCTAAAATCTGCTAACTTAAAGAATGTATAAAAAATCCATGACCCATTACTTCTGTGGAATTGAAATTTCCATGATGTTCAGAGCATTTTTATTTGCAAAGTTGTGGCCATCACAGCATCCTGCGGTCATATGACCATGATTTTCAACACTTCCCCACAAGCAAAGTCAATGGGGAAGCTGGCAGGAAGTCAGAAGTCATTCCCGCTCCCACTGCTTTTTTGCCTACCCATGGTCATTCTGTTTATCTGTTCAGGTAAGTAAATATTGACTTATTATTAAAATTCATTTGCCACTACAGTTATTTTTCTATTTATAATATATACTCTTAGATGATCATGGGACCATCCAGCATTGGGGTAAAAAAAAAAAACTCTCAGCCTAAAATTTAACATTCATTCTGGTCACATCAGACTGTACTACCTTTCTCTCAGAAGATGACCCCATGAGTCATAGGTTTGTCTTGTAAATAATAAAATAAAGAAGGGATTGGCAAGACCAGGCCTACTGATGGTGCTAACCAGATCATCACCTCAACAATGTAGCTATTCTCATTTTCCACAGGGAAGTCAAGAAGCTCAGAAGAACTATTAGCAAATTCTCAGCTTGCATACTCTCCATCCTATATATTTGGAAGCATAATAAAAGGAAATAAAATAAATAAAATAAAATAAAATTCAAACGTGATTCTTAAAATACAATCTGTATTTCCTAAAAATATATTTGTTTGATTAGGTTTGACATCATTTGCCCCAAAGGAAGCAATTAGATATCACAGATACCAAACATACAGCACACCAGTGTATAAAATAAGCCTCTCCAGGTTCTTGGGAACTAAAATTAGGTACAGCAGTTTAAAGATTTAGAATCTATACTGAACTGTAATTAGACTTCAGTCTAGATTTTCTATAAATTTGTAGAAGCAAGAGTTTAAGGGGTAAGTTAATAAAGAAAAGAAGCCACATTATTTTCATTCATTTCTCTCCCCCCTCCCCCCCCGCACACAACCCTCACATACCCACATATTTATTTTTTTTTATTTATTGATATTAT